GCTTTTATTATTTTTCTGTCAATTCTAGCTCATCCCAGGCCTTTCCAACATTATTCACAGAAGTGTTTGGCACTTATTATATTCATCCTTGATTTATATATCCAAACTCCCACTTTCTGTTCATGTTTTTTAAAATTATGAAATTGGAGAGCTGACTTGTAGCCACAATGGTCTCTTTTGATGCCTCTTTTCCCTTCATCAGAATAATCTGTAACTACACAGCAGATACTTATTTTTCAGAGATCTGAATACATAGAAGCATCTTCGTATTTTCTCTCATCTTTTTGTAAGCTAATTTCATAAGGTTTGGAGTAGATGTTGATGCCTAACACTCTCTTCTATGTATATGATGCTTTGAACTGGAAGAAGGAAAAAGCTCCAACAGATTACTTCCGAAGAAGCCCAGAGCATCGGGCTCCACACTGAGCAAAGTCAGCAGCTCTTCTAATGTATAGACTCAATGGTATTCCTATCAAACTACCAATGACATTCTTCACAGAACAGAAAAAAAACTATTTTAAAACCCATATGAAACCAAAAAAAGAGCCCCAATAGCCAAGGCAATCCTAAGCAAAAAGAACAATGCTGGAGACATCAGAGGCATCATGGCACCTGCCTTTGAACTATACTACAGGGCTACAGTAACCAAAACAGCATGGTACTGGCACAAAAACAGGCACACAGACTGATGGAACAGAATAGAGAGCCCAGAAATAAGGCTGCACTCTATGGCCATCTGATCTCCAACAAACCTGGCAAAAACAAGCATGGGGAAAGGACTCCCTATTCAATAAATGGTGCTGGGATAACTGGCTAGCCATATGCAGAAAACTGAAGCTGGACCCCTTCCTTACACCAGAGAAAAACCAACTCAAGACGGAATAAAGACTTAAATATAAAACCCCAAACTAGAAAAATCCTGGAAGATAACCTTGGCAATGCCATCCTGGACACAGGAATGGACAAAGATTTCATAACGAAGACACCAAAATCAATCACAACAAAAGCAAAAATTGACAAATGGGATTTAATCAAACTTAAGAGCCTCTGCAGGCAAAAGAAACTATCAACAGACTGACAGACAACCTACAGAATGGGAGAAAAATTTTGTAAACTATGCATCTGACAAAGGTCTCATATCTAGCATCTATCAGGAACTTAAACAAATGCACAAGTATAAAATAAACAACCCCATTAAAAAATGGGCAAAAAACATGAACACTTTTCACAAGAGTACACGTGGCCAAGAAGCGTATCAAAAAAGCTCATCACTGATCATTAGAGAAATGCAAATCAAAACCACAATGAGAGACCATTTCACAACAGTCAGAATGGCTATTATTAAAAGTCAAAAATTGGCTGGGTGTGGTGGCTCTTGCCTGTAATCCCAGCACTTTGGAGGGCTGAGGCTGGTGGATTGCTTGAGCACGAGAGTTTGAGACCAGCCTGGGCAACATGGAGAAACCTCATCCCTACAAATATAAAAAATCAGCCAGGCACAAGCTTGTAGCCCCAGCTACTCACGAAGCTAAGGTGGGAGGATCGCTTGAGCCCAGGAGGCAGAGGTTGCAGCGAGCCGAGCTCACACCACTGCACTCCAGCCTGGGCCAGAGTGAGACCCTGTCTCAAAAATAATAAAAGGTAACTAAATAAAAGTCAAAAAATAACACATTCTGGAGAAGTTGTGTAGAAGGGGACACTTATACACTGTTGGTGGGAGTGTAAATTAGTTGAACCATTGTGGAAAACAGTGTGGCGTTTCCTCAAACACCTAAAAACAGAAATACTATTCGACCTAGCAATCCCATTACTGGGTATATACCCAAAGGAAAATAAATCGTTCTATCCTAAAGATGCATGCATGTGTTCACTGCAGCGCTCTTCCCAACAGAAAAGACATGGAATCAACCTAAATGCCCATCAGTGGTAGACTGGATAAAGAAAATGTACATAGGCACCATGGGATACTATGCAGCCATGAAAAACGAATGAGATCATGTCTTTTGCCGGGACAGGGATGAAGCTGGAGGTAATTATCCTTCGGAACCTAATGCAGGAACAGGAAACTAAATACTGCATGTTCGTACTTATAAGCAGGAGTTAAAAGAACAGAACACATGGACACATGGAGGGGAACAACAGACAATGGGGCCTACCAGAGGGTAGAAGGTGGGAGGGGGAGGATCAGGAAAAATAACTAATAGGTACGAGACTTAATACCTGGGTGATGAAATTATCTGTATAACAAACCCCTGTGACACGAGTTTACCTACATAACAAACCTGCACATGTATGCCTGAACTTAAAAGCTAAAAAAGAATCAGCAGCTCTGCAAGGGCAGGTGTTTTCCTTTCTCCTCTACAGCTTCAATATGCTGGCTTTGCCCTCAGGCTAGATCCCTTCCAGGTCCAAATGTGGCTATAGCAGTTTCAATCATCACATTCAGGCAAAATAATGTCCACAGGCAAAAAGTCTCCGGCAAGGTCTCCTTGGGAGTGAAGGAACTTTCCCCAGAAACACCCTCAGCAGAGTTCCCTCACGTCTCCTTTGCCAGGATGGAGTCCCACGACCACTTCTAAAGCAATTACACCCAAGGTGACAGGGCTGGGATAACGTCCTACTTCCCTAAGCCACGAGGAGGGGGAAAGCAAAGTTACTCCTCAATATCCCAGCCAGGAAGCAGCAGGGATGCTGGAGAAGCAATCACCAGTGTCTTAGTTTCATCATTACTAACATTTGAGTGCACACCTATGTTCACTACAGGCTCCTAACATTTCCCCTAGAGTAATTCTTTCCCACTGGGTCAAAATGAATCCCAGAGCAGCAGTTTTGTTACTTCTGGTAACCTAATGGGATGGCATTATCAGCAAGTCAAGAGTTAATCGGACTCTTAGCAAATAAGATATCCAGGAAGGTCTTTTATAGCCCAACTACTGCATCCCTACCATGTCTCGTCTCCGTGTTTTCCTGTTGCAGATTCAGAACAGAAATCCATAGCCTTAATCTGATGAAGAAAAGTACAATATAACCCAACCATCATATTTTTGTCTTTTCTCATCAGTATTCACATACTCATTTACTTTCCCTCTCAGGTCTAAGTTCCTTTTGTGTATTCTTGATGTATAGTAGTTTCCCACCTTTATTAGACCCGTTTCTTTTGAACAGTGTAATTTTTGTACTCTAGTAACAAGTAGCATCTCAGATTTTGACAGTCATGTTTACGGCCTTATGTTAACATGTCTAAGCTCTATGTAGGACCTGGTACCTCGTATATACACATCTGGAGCTGTGTCATTACTGGGTCCCCTACTTTCCTTCTATTCTAGAGCTTATTTTTCAGATCTCCCCACTCATCTTCCTTTTAAACGAACCCAGCATCATCCACATTTTCTCTGGCCTCTTCATAAGCTACTTTCATAAAGTTTAGAGTATATGTCGATGCCCAGCACTTTATTTCCAACATAAGGCCTTCTGACAGGTTTGCTAACTTACAAGAGTTCTCGGACAAAGCAGTGCTCTAAATATTTATTTTAAAATAATCCTTACAGCAACTCTCTAAACTACGTGTTAATTTTTATATATGAAAAAACTGAAGCTCAGATATTAAGTAACTTGTTCAAAGTCACCCAGAACAAAGCCAGGCTTGAGTCCAAAGTCCAGCTATTCTTCTGGTTTTCTGAACTCTGAGGACTGAAGAACCGTATCAGTCAAAATGTAGATGTGTTAAAATTATCAGACTTAAAAAAAATGCTACTGAGAAACACTGGGGGAGAGTGGCACCCTAACTAATGGAACCCAGGTGAGTGATGCCCAGGGAAAACCATGTGATAAGGAAGAAGGACATAAGGAGAACCATGCTCCAGCATGCAGGGAAAAAGAAAAACTATCTTATCTGGCAGACAACTGAGAATTGGCCAACTTCCGGTATGTTCCTACAAGAATTCTGAGGGTCTCGCTCTGCTACGGCTTGTCCCAGTTCCCCTCTAGGTTCTGCTACCTCCTTTTATTATTTAACTATAGCAAAGTTTCTCCCACTTCATTGTAAGACTTCCCTTACATCAAATAAGCTTCAAGAACATGTGTAGAAAATAAAAGATATCAAATAATGTTTGAATGTATAATTACCACATTCTAAAACCAGCCAGACTCTTGGCCTAAGACTTCTAACAACAAACCACTTCCAGAGCCAAGTTAGAAAATGTGTTTACCCAACTCCTTTTTTATTGGTTGACTCACATGAAAGAGATGGGCATTTCCTTTCCCCAAATGGGAACTTACTATGCCTACTCCCTATTTCTTGAAAGCTGTCATTTTGAAAAAGAGGAATATGAAAAATATTAAAAGACAAACATCTGACATCACTGTCGAAGACTACAAATAATGTAGTAAGTGAAATTGGTTTTCACATTTTAGTCCTGGCTTAAACTCTTGATATTTAAGAATGAGGTGTTTCTCACTTAGTTTTATCCATGATCTCTTTCAGAAGTCAACCGTCTCCTGTGCAAAAAGGCTCATAGAAGCCGCTGCCTTCTGAAGAAAGCACACCAACTGGCGGGGGTCAGGGTAAACCAGGAGTCACACCCAACCACCAACTGCTCACGCCCAAGAACCCCACCCTACCCTGGCCACAGAAACTGTGCCTAGACTCCTGCACAGCCTGCAGCTGTGTTTCAATTATAGCTGTGTTTGTAATCACAGGTCACGTGCCCCACCCCAATCACTCCATTTGGCTAACAAGTGCCCACATTACAACACACAAATGGAAAAAAAACTGGAATGCTCGCAAAAGTTACAAATAAAAACGATATGAAGGCATATTAAATTTTGGCTGATACTTCTCTTTGATTTTGCTAAACCACAGCAGAGTAAAGGCTGGCCCAATGTTGAATTTTACTGAAGAGTATCATAAACTGAAGAAAGAAAAAAAGACAAAAACAGTAGTGAAATAAAGAATAGGCAAATATACCAGAATTATGAATGGAAGTCATTCTAGAGAATTATTCTACAACAGATGAAGTTTTAATTTCTTTTCACATTAAACATTGCTTACCACAATCAGCTAACAGAAATTACTGTAACATTGGTCACGATGACTTCATAAAACTAAAGATAGATGTTATGCGGAAACTTCATTTAATGTGAATGGTAACGTTAGATACTGTATTTTTTCATGGCAAAATACAACTTATCTTGAAGAGAAAGCAAATAGTTCAGATCAGGGAGACATGCTAAGGTTTTAATAAAGAAAAGCTTGGCCTCATCCGGAACACTTAACAAAGTTCAGGACAAATTAGATAAAAGAGATGAGTGAGACACCAGCGTTAGGCAGGGACATAGGCTCATCATTCAGGCTTTATGTACATTACTGGATCTATGCAGCTCTCACTTTTAGATAAGCACGCTGTACTTTTGGCAGAGGGATCTTCAAAAGTAGCCTTGGATATGAGGAATCGTATTTTAACCACCAGGCAGTCCAAGAAATTATTTTTAAAGGGGCAGCTGAGTATTTTCACGTATATACTATTAAGGCATCTAAATTTTTGGTGTTTTCAGTATATACTTTTACTGCTACTTTTTATTTTTTTTCATGTTGTACAACTATGATATTAGGTATTAAGCGACATAATTCTTTCTCTACTAGTGAACCAGTTTATCTCACTTAGCAAACTCTAAATTGATTGAAATATATAATCTGAGAACACACAGAAAAATATATTGAAAAACCAATAGAGATTTTTAAACATCATAAAAACTCAATCTTAATTAACTGATAGTCTTTAACTTAAAAAAAGAGTAATTAGAATGAAAATAAGTATTAAAAATAATTACCAGTAGTTTGTTTTACAAAAGAATAGAGCCATAAATTGTTTTAATTGCCCAATTAAGCAACTACCAGATTCTTTAGTCAACACTAACAGAATTCACATTTCAGCTAGTCAACAAAGCATATATTTAACATCTCTTGAATATAACATTTTAGTGATAACACAGACTACATAATTCTATCCATTGTTGTGACTGTATACAAATTAACCATGTTAAATATCAAAGATACATTGGGAATACTCCCCAAACCAACAACAGAATATTAATTAAATGAATTTTAAAAGCTTAAGAAATAAAAGTAGAAAACATGAATGAGACAGTGCTTTAACAATTATTGACCTAATCAAGACCTTTAAAATTACCACCAAAATGCACTATGATTTTTTTTTTTATTTAGTTTACAGGAAGAATCTATAAGTACAGGTTGCAGAAAGAAAATGTTTAGTGCTATTTACATTCGTTTTAAAACTCTGCTCTATACAAATTTAATTCTGATCAGTATGAACAATATTTTCGTAGATCTACTGCGTATAAAGCCTTTTCATCAAAGCATTAACAATGAATAAAATAACCTGATTACATTTAAACAACGCTGACCATTTGAAACCATTTACATTTAATGTTTTTAAGGGCTGTTGACACTTAGTAAGTACAGAATGTAATGCCAGCCTGTAACTTCATTTTTATAAAGGCTAAATTTATTTATATGGAATATTGTTCTATATACTACAAGCCAATCTATATTTTAAGTCCTATAGTTAGGTATTTTATAAGTCTTTTATTAAATATATTCTACACATATTTGTAATTTCACCCAGGAAGAATTTCTTCCCAGTGAAAAAATATAAAATCTTTCATATTTTTACAGGTTTAGATGAAACTAGCTCATGCTTTAGTGCTGTGCAAATTGTTTTTAGCATATCAATCTTTAAATTATTGGTATGAAATAAAAGAAAAAGTGGCATTCTTAATTGTGTATGCCATAAAAATCAGCTTTTGACTTTAATACAATTGCAAGCACTAATATCAAATGCAAACTATATAAAGAAACAAAATTAGTACTATGGAGTTTTTCTTTTTAAATTTTAAGAATTCATTTGAACTCTCTAAGGAGTAAGAATGACACTGGATGTGATTACAAATGAATGATAATTATGGAAAATTTCAATTCACTGATATTCAAATACGTAAAATTGATCAATGAGGTTTTCTAATATTTCTGCACAATAAGGAAAGCCGATGAGTGACTGGAACTACCCTCCCACATTAAGGCTAGGAGACGCACTCTCACCCCTTCTTGTGCTGTCTAAACAAGCGCTCAGTTACTGCAGGACTCAAGAGTGCATGTCTTAAAGGGAAAAAAATCAGTTTCATCAGCCCTCTACTGAGTGCTTTAAACAGGCACATTTTGTTTTTTCATTTGTTGCAGTGAAAAGAGTCACACTCAGTTTAGTATTCTGTGCCAGTGCAGCCACCACGGCTGACTTTGGTAGAATTCACCCAACATTTTTGTTTCTTTTCCATTTTTTCCTCTCAAGTTGGCCCAGTAATTAACTTCATTAATTGCTGAGTGTCTTCCAGTGTGGAATTGTATATGTAAGTATTTCTAGGTACCATAAACTGTTATAAATTCTGCTGATGGGCAAAATAATGCCAATCTTTTTAGTGCAAATTGTATTTGGAACACTTGCTTTATTAGTTCTGATGATGAAAATTTTGTGGCAGCAAAATGGTTTCTGCTACGAAAGATAACTTGTTAACTTTTCCCCTGGAGATTGACATTCAAAAACCAGTATGTTTTAAAACAGCTCAACATAAAAAGAGGAGAAATAAAAAATCAGAGTGAAAAATGTTCTTGGTGCTTTTACTTTCATGAGAAAAGAGGACAGTGTTCATGTGGTCATTCAGTTCCATGGGCTTACAGCAGACTGTTCTGAACGGTTTCTCAAGCAATGGCGGGTCTTTTCTGTCCCAGCAGCATGAAAGACAAAGACTATATCACATCACACTAGGCAGACAGTGTTTACAGGATTACACAACAATTACTCTCGCCAGTCTTCTCACGATTCCTCTGACCTAGGGAAAATGAAGAAGGGCCTCGTTTATAAAAATTCTAGAACTGGAGGGGAAAAGGGGCTAGGCAATCAAGTATAGGAAGCAGTAGTTTTGCGTTTTTAAAAATGTTTGCATTTTTCAAAATTAAGAAGCTGTAATAAATGTTCTTTTAATTTTAGCATGTTTCAAAAATGTCTGGTTATTTGCTTGACAATCTCTATTCACAAACTATGCAAACTTCCTTTCCCTCAGAATCTCCAAGAAAAACCCAGCAAATGCCTGTCTTTGTGCCTCAACTGAGACACTTTTCCAGTGCATGGCTTACCTTGAGAGTTTGGCTCTGGCAATGTCTCTCTGGCCACCAAATGCATCACTGTTGTTTTGCCAAAAGGAAGTTTTAATGCTATGTGAAAAGCAAAAGATGATTAGTTACACATATATCAACCTATTAAAATCACTATCCAGATTTAAAACCATTTTAAAAATTGATTGCTTTTTTTGACTTCTTTAACAGATTGAACTTCTTAACTCAGAGTACCTTCACAAAATTAGATTAATATTATCAGAAATAACATTTAAAATTTAAAAATTTTTTGCAGTTATATAGCCATTTGCTTGACACATTTATCCATATTATTTAAGAAATGATAAAAGAAAAAAATATGTAATTGGCTAATATCAGAGGCTACCTTTAGAGGAGAAAGGATTAAATTTTTTTTTAAAAATACTCTTTCTATATTAAAGTTTAGATTAAGAGATATTCATTTCTAAATCTAATTACCTGTCAATTGTCTAATAAAATTACTGCACTGAACAGGCTACTATGATGTAGAAATGCAAGAAACAAACTTGATTTTAAACATTTATTCTCATCCCTGTATTCGTCCATTAGAAAAGAATTTTCTTAAAAAGATTAGGTTAAAATAATCACTGTCTTGGCGTTATCAATAATCACTGTTTCCTAATCAAGTCTTTATAACATGTTTTCACTCATAAATTTAATAAATTTTATCATGAAATATTTCAGGCATAGAATACACACCCATGTCCACTAAGGCAAACACAAACACTGAGTTTCATGGTAAATCCCTTTGTTACTCTGTGTATAAAATTAGAAGCAGCTGGTATATTTAGCTTCTAGAACTGTTTCTATAGTTGTCATGTTTTAGTTCTGACACCTCAAATTACCCTGTCTTCAAAAACTACAAACTGAAGTAAGGCCAAAGATCATTACTTAGCAATAATGACCCTCCAGCTCCCTGTTTTTAAAACTTGCTCTATAGGATGATGGTTACCATGCAGATTTTAAAAAGAATCCTAATTATCTTCAACACTGGTACTATTTCATATGTTTAAGGTGAGTTCCCATCTTATTTAAAGTTGGCCAGCCATTATTTGGTCTACACTTTTAACCTCTGATGTTCAAATGAAGCACGATGGCCCATAAATACACAACGAAAAAAGGGAGGCTTTTAGAATAACTTCCTAGGCCTGACTTAAATTAAAATGTAAATAAGACTTTATGTTATGAAAAATTTCACTAAATATTTGGGAAAGCTTGATCAACATTTTAAACCTTGAACTGAACTTAAAATGCACACATACCAGGCTGCATATCATTCTCATACCTTCAAACCTTGAACTGAACTTAAAATGTGCACATACCAGGCTGTGTATCACTCTCATATCCGTCTTCCGGGCTCTAGTAAGACAGACCTGGATTAAAAATTTTCATCTCTGCTGCTTCCAACTGTGTAACTCTCAGCAAGTTACTTACCCTCTAAGCTTCTGTTTCCTCAACTAAACCGGAGATACTAATTCTATTACATGCCCTTTGTAGCTGTGTCCATTAAATCAAACAATCCAAGCAAACTGCTTTGCCCAGAGCTTGGCACAAAGAAAGCATTCAGTATATACTACCATCATCATTTTGAGATAGCAAGGAAAATGAATCTGAGAAAAAAGGTAGGTGAACTGAGATATAAATGTAAAAACACGTCAGACAGGCCTGGAAAGTTCCCAAGAGGCTTACCATTTGAAGTTACAAATGTAATGTGTGGGAGCTATTATTTTTTCTTCTTCATCTGAATTTTAACTAGAAATAGTAGGTATTGATGTTAATAACATTTAAAAATGTGAAAGAAGAGGAATGCCAGAATCTAAAATGCGTTCTCTTCCTTTCACTGTGGACGCTTCTGCTTTCTCCTATGACACAGTACAATATCCAGAATAGAGGTTTTCAACCTTTAGAGTACATAAAAATCACCCAGGAATTCAATTCTGTAGTAAAATCAGGAGACGCGGGTTGGGGAGAGAGGGCGTGCAGAAATCTGTATTTTAAAATAAGTATCCTAGATGAGCCTCATGCTCATTATTTCAGAACCACATTTTGGGAAATGCTAATCTGGGCCATACTGAATGCCAAAGCTTTAGCTGATCATCTTCTTCACCCTCTGATTAACAAGGCTGCTGTCACACTTTTCCTTTAATGAAATGAAACTCTATATGACTATATAAAGGTTCTAGTTCAAAAAGGGGGATTCAGGGCTATGTTTTAAGACATTTGATAACTGAACATTTCAATCTGAAACTTAACTGAACCAGAAAATTTCAAGAATGGCAGAGAATGCTCTGGCTTCCCACTTTAACTGTCCACATAATGGCTGAATTCCACCCATGGCTGTATACCCACTACTTCGTGGTCATCCACTGCTTGACCACCACCTATAACAAAGATCTCACTAACTTTCCCTGGCAGTCTAGTCTTTCTTTAGGTAGTTCAATGTGTTCACATGTTCTTTCCTATATTGAATAGAAAACTGTCTTTGATTTCCAGTTATTGATCCGAAGTCTAATTCACAGGGCTACACAGAGCAAGTTCTAGGGCCATACAAAGCCTTCTTCCACACAGGCCACTCAAATATTTATAGATGGTTGCATTTCTCTGTGCGCTATCTTCTTTATTATTCACATTGAAGAACACAGGGATGCTAAAAAGAAAAACTGAGACCCAAAAGACAAATAGTTGATTATCGTTATCCAAACTTGCTCAAACATCCAGTTATAATTATTAACGCAGAGGTCCAGGCCATGCTTCTACGCTAGAGATAGTTTATTGTTTTTGAAAAGAAGGACAGCAATACAGAATGACAATAATAATTATATAAGTCAATCTGGTAATTATTCTAAAACAATTTCAAAAAAAATACTGGTAAAAAATATACTTTAGTGGGAATGAATCAATAATTTTGATTTTTAACACAAATTCTGTGAGCTTTAATATGAAGTTCAAACTCTGAGGTCACAACAGAAAAGATAATTAAGGAATGGACTTGGTGGGAAATTGCTCACATAGATCAATACTCAAAAGGGAAATGGAGTATTTCAAGGTTCACTCATATAATCAATAGATTAAATTCAACCATCATTTACCAATTTTTTTTTTTTTTTTTTTTTGAGACGGAGTCTCGCTCTGTCTCCCAGGCTGGAGTGCAGTGGCCGGATCTCAGCTCACTGCCAGCTCTGCCTCCCGGGTTCCCGCCATTCTCCTGCCTCAGCCTCCCGAGTAGCTGGGACTACAGGCGCCGCCACCTCGCCCGGCTAGTTTTTTGTATTTTTTAATAGAGACGGGGTTTCACCGTGTTAGCCAGGATGGTCTCGATCTCCTGACCTCGTGATCCGCTTTCAAGGTTCACTCATATAATCAATAGATTAAATTCAACCATCATTTACCAATTTTTAATTCACGGAAGATCTTGTATGAGCCATAATTTTAAAAAGACCAGAACATGGTCCCACCCTTAATGAATGTACAATATAGCCCAGGAGCTAACAGTCAATTCTTACACAAAGAGCATTAAGAGTCGGTCCATCTATTTATACAAAAGCTATAAAAAAAGCTACAAATCAAAAAAGCTCCATTTTAAAGTGCCAGATATCTTAGTAGATAGAAGCATTTTTTAGACCAGTTATAAAACTACTAGTGAAACTCAGTGTGAGATTATAGCCTGAAATGTTTTATTCACTTGACACTGTGATAAAATCATTTGCATTCATCTACTTTAGCCCTTATTGCCCAGGATTTTTACCAGTGCATTTGATCTGTTTGTCCTATGTAATACTAGAGCAACCTGAAGGGAGAGCTTCTGTCTTACTCTACTGGATTCCCAAGTGCTTAGCACAGTACTGGCACATAAGAATTTAATAAATACATGCTGAATGAATGAATGCAAACATTCTACCTTTAAGGAAAAACAGATTATATATTAGGTTTAGAGGAAAAAGTCAGACTATATTTAATGAAATATATATTTAGATAGATCGTTTAATTTGCCTATACATTTCCAAATATCTGAATATATTTGAAATACCTATTTTCAAAACTAAACAAATCCTGTTGATGGTAGAAAATGTACCCCATAAGGGGGCACTATTGAGCTACATTTCTCCAGTCATATATAAAGAATAATAATAGCTAACAATTAAGGTGTTTACTATGTGCCATGCATGTAAGCACTTTGAATATATAAAGTAATTTACCCTTCTTAACCTCTGAGGTAGGCACTATGGTAATTCCACTTTACTGATGAGGAAACTGGAACACAGGTTGGTTAAGTCACTTGCCCAAGGTTTACACAGCCAGTAAGTAGTGCAGCTAATACAACTTAAATAGTCTAGTTCCAAAATCTTTTCTTTCAACTATTACGCTAAAATGCTGCTCTAATGTCAGTCACTTACTTTATTCTCACATGATTAGCAACTATATCAGGTAGGAACACCTGAAAACATCCCTTCATATATTTGAAAACTATCATAAATTTTTCCTAGTTTGTGTGTCCAGTCTTAAGTTTAAAATACTATATCTGAATTACATTATTTGGAAATATAATAATATTACATTTAAAAAATAGTAGGTATAGAATTCTATCTATACTGGGATAGAGTTTATTTTACAAGGTAGTAGACACTTATTACAGTCCTAAAATTAAATTTAACAGAATACACAATGTGAAGGAGTAGGCATACCAGAAGTAGGCAAAATTCATAGTTTGAATTTGTCTTTTTTTTTTAGTAAATTCAAAGACATTAGCATTTAAAACAAACGAATCATGCTACCATGAGACCGACATGAAATCCCACTACAAAGGTGGCTGTTACCTCCTAATGTGACATTTCCATGTAGAAATCGCCCTTGATAAATGAGTCGTAGAATATTTGGACTGCTGACCTGCTCTTCTTCCCAGTCTGAAAAGAATCCAGTGAACTGGTTAGGTATATTCTAACACGTAATTAACGTACTACTATATTGTTTTAAAAATTCAGATTCAAATCAGTTAGAGTACAAAGAAGGCCCTCGGAGCTTCCTACTATTAGAAACAGTCACTATTCATATGTTCACTGCAACCCTAGTTCTTGCTTATTCTTCTTAAGTAGCAAGAGCTGCAAAAAGACTCATTTTGCTTCTTAAAGAATACTAAAATGTACCAAACTGTAGTCCCCAAGTTTAAAGTTAATACAAACGAGTTGGGAAAGACCTACCAAGTAAAAACAAATACCATTTTAAAATTAATTTAAATTACCAGTAATTAACAGATAATATTATAATGTTCCAACATTTGTACCTGTTAAAATGTACATTTAAGGCTAGAAAACAGCAGGTTTAACAAATATCTAAAAAACAGTTAATATATTGATATTAAGAATAACAAAAAAACTGTGTTTACTTTTGGATAATGTTGATTTATTATCTTATTTTCTATCTGAAGTCAGTTAGTAAACATTAGAGAAGATACAACTTTAGTTCACCTCACCCAAAATGAAGACTTGGAAGAAACTGAAAAACTAATATATATTAGAAGGTACTGTACAAACATGAAAACTTAGAAAGGTGTACACACAAAGAAAATCAAAAGACAAACTGGTAGGTAGAATGGGTAAAAGATTATTTAACTTCAGCCTATAATTTATGTAATAGTAAAAGATGGAAGCCACTCCATTAAAATAAAGGTTTAAGGACACTAGTGTTATGATAGGGTAAAGGGTTGGTAATTTTCATGAGCTTGTAGATGTAACAATTTAAGCCTTGAGTTTATTAATGATCTGAGAATTCCTTTGTCTTTTTTGTCAACAATTCTCACGTGTTTGTTTCCTATAGCAAGAGATAATGGGCAACACACAAAAAAAATAGTTTAAAGTATTCTGAAAGAGTGACAGAAGAGAAAGGAAGTAATTACAGACTTTTCTTTTGCCCTTTTCTTGACTATTCAAAATGATGAATATGAATTTGATAAAACCACTGCCTATAAGTGACTTAGGCACAGCTGAAATGAGCAGAGGAGAAATAAATCTCAGTCATTTCCTGCCCCTGACCCATGCCTTTAGTCTCTTCCCTCTTCTCCCTCCTGCAAGGTTTTGTTGCCTTCTGATCCTGTTACTCCCAGGTCCCTCCTATTCCAGAAGAAAGATCAAATAAGTCTCTAACACTATAACACAAATTGTTTTGAATTCATCACTTCCAAAATTATTGTTTAATAGAATATTTCTGGTCAAGATGGAAGTGCTCCATAGATACAAAGGTAAATTACAGTAATTGTTTAATTCACAGGAAACAAAGACTAATATTCTAAAAATACTTGAATTTTTTTTTTTTTGAGGTGCAGAAACCTGAAGTCCCATGTTTCATTATCTTATACAGAGTGTCATGATTTCCACGTACTTCACCGGTGTAATATGCTATCTCCCTTCCCCTCTCCAAGGATCTAAAATTTAGAGAAACCTTAGAATATAGCTTAAATGAAGAATTTCAGGTGTTATTAACATAACCTAAGTTTAATAGATTTTTTTGAACCTTTGACCCAGTAACAGCTATGTGTCTGACTATTCCACCTGTTAGTAATATTTCCACTAAATAGCATGAGGGTATGCTAAGGAAAACTAATTCCTTCAACAAGTATAGTGCATTAAGTATTTTCTTCTATTGATTTAATATTTGCCACACATTTATTATTAGCATCAATAAGTATTTAATTTGCTGATTTTTAGTACATTATGTGATACAATCCAGACTTACATTTTTAATTTAAATATTTTATGTAAAATAAAAATTAAAGTACTTCTCTATTCTTTGCAGTGTCTAAAACTGCTGAGTAGATTTGGCAACCTGAGGAAATCCTGGGAACTAAAATCTTTATTTTGAAAATAAAGGAACATCCACTGATACAATCAATTTTCAGTACTAGTAGATGGTTTGTTCATTTGGGATACTATTTATGGCAAAGACTTATACTTGAATTTAAACTAATTTTAATATCTAAGTAAGTAATTATGAAAGTAAAAGTGTTTCTTTTACCTTAAGTTATGATACTGCCCAAATAAATTTCAGACTGATTACCCTTCTTCTGCCTTGTGTTATCTCATCTATAATATCCATATATCAAAAGCTATTACTATGACCACTCCCCCCAAAAAAAATCTCATAAAGGTAATCTTTTTGTATCACACTTAGAATAACATCATTGTTGGGTATTTAAAAATGCTTTTCATACTGACAGTCATCTATTTCCGCCTGGCTATAAAGAATAGCCAATATTCTTAGAGCCCAAATTTAGTCTTATTTAGCTTTTCTGAAATTCCTTCTTAGTTATAACCTTTATAGCTTCAGTATCTCCCTGATTTAGAAATCAGCCGCTTGGTTACTAATGTGAAGAAAGATCCAGTAGTTGAAAGTATTTGTCTAAATCAGTATTTCTTAAATTTAGGCCTATGAATCCACAAAGACATGTCCTTAGGGTCTAAAAGTCCTCTTCAGGAAGTTTTAAGTTGTATTTTCATTTTAATGAAAATCTGGAAAATCTGTATTTTCATTTTAATGAAATCTGGAGGAGATTGTCTAGATGATTTAAATAGTCATTTTATAACCAAGCGCAGCCTTGGGGTTTTCAGTACTCACGTGTGCATTAAACTTATGATTGTACTGGTGCCAAGCAGTCAGTACTTCTTTAATTGTTAAGAGGCTAATGAGATAAGGACAGAGGTTCACTTAACAGGTAAATGATGCATTCTATCTAAGAGAAAACTGAGTAACAATTTGTTATACTGTGTAAGTAAAGGTTTTATGGTGACTCTACAGATAACTTGATCATCAAACACTATGTAGGAACATAGGCATGGCAAACTCAATAGTATTCATGGGGTAAGCAGTGAGTTGGTTTTGGCAAAAATACATCATTTAGCACATTAATGTTATTAATTTGAACATTATTGGTTTGAGAGTTATATTTGCATTTTCTGAATCAATCTTTTTTAGTTTTATGATTATGCATATGAGTTAACAAGAATAAAGAGTTTTAACTGGGTTTATGTTTCTATATTTTAAAATACTCATTGTAATAAAAATAATTTAAGTCAGCAACTAGAGATCTACAAGAATTATGTTCCTCTAGAAAAGTTCCATATATTATTTAAGGCTGAGAAACACTGATCTAATTGACTCATTTTGTACATATACTATGTTCTTTGTCAAAACAAGTCTTGTCCTTTAAAAGTTCAAATTGCTTCTGCTAAAAAAAATTAAGTGAAATCAGCTGAAAATAATTCGTATCACTATGATATAAGACATAAGGATCAAGATGACACTGGGGAAGTTCAAAGGAAGAAAACGAACCAACAATTCACTTGAAGGAGGCAATTTTTTTCTTTTTTTTTTTTGAGACGGAGTCTCGCTCTGTCACCCAGGCGGGAGTGCAGACGCATAATCTCAGCTCACTGCAAGCTCTGTCTCTCGGGTTCAAGAGATTCTTTTGCCTCAGCCTCCCGAGCAGCTTGGATTACAGGGGTGCACCACCACGCCCAGCTAAATTTTGTAATTTTAGTAGAGACTGGGTTTCACCATGTTGGCCAGGCTGGTCTTGAACTCCCTGACTTCAAGTGATCTGCCTGCCTCAGCCTCCCAAAGTGCTGGGATTATAGACCTGAGCCACCACACCCAGCCCACAGTCTTATTATATATTTAAAAAAAAAAAAAAAATCAGAGAAAGGAAGAAATACCAAACACATTTTCCAAGATTGTTATGGTTACTGGCTTGAAAATGGAAAGCATAGACAGATATTAATCATCTTGACCTTATAGTAGTTCAGAGAACACAAGAACTGACATGAATTAGAAGTTAATTTTGTTTCAAACTTAATTTTAAATAGGCTATCTAGAGAAGACCATAGAGAATGTATCATCTGTTAAAAATGTTGCTCTTTCCTCTTACTTTGTGTTTTGGTAAAAATAGGTTTACTCATATGAAGGTGTGTGTATACTCACTATTTTGTGTGTGGTTTTTTTTTT